GTTCGAATATGGCGTCCACATGAGGCACTCGCCACTCAGCGCAACGAATTGATCGAGGCTGGGTGCTTGTCTTTTTGGGTACTACAAAGGATTCATGGTACATATTCCTTAATAGAATTATGGTAGTTAGGGTATATGACCCCAATTTTCGGGTTCGTTTGGTCCCCAAGGTAGAAAGCTTAGTTTTGGGCGTTTAGGCTGAGGTTCCAAAAAAACACCCATAACTCCAAAGGAAGCGCCACAGCCCGCAACAGCAGGACGCAACTCCCCCCCGCCCCCCCCGCCACAAGCCACTGAAGCGCGAGATCTCGCGTTTTGAAGTTAAGCTCCTTTGGAATTGTACTGGTTGTAAGTCACCTCCGACAATGAGAGTTTTGCGAACCCCTTTGTTCGGTAACCTCTTTTCTTAACCTCCGGGTCCGTGTTGGGGATTCTTCCTTGCTGGTTTGTGGTCGAGGACCCCGGAGGTGGCACTAAGGCATGAGGTGGGGAGGGTCTCCTCATCCTAAGCCGACGAGCACCTCGACCATCAGCAGGTTAGGACCAACACGGAGTGACAGTGCCAGGCAGCCAGGGGGCGGCGGGAGTACGGTGCACTCCGGGCGCCGCTCCTCCCATCCACGCAGCTCACGGCAGCCCCGGGGACGGCGGGAGTAGGGTCTACTCCGGACGCCGCTCTCCGCAGGCGGACAGCGGCTGTAGGCATCGGCGAGCGATTCGATGGGTCGGGAGGGCCGGAAGTGCGAAGTCGCAGGGCGAGCGGTGCTCGCGGGACCTGCACATCTCGCACACGGCAGTGGTGTGTGGCACTTCGTCCTCACTTTCGTCGTTTCGTGTTGTTGTTTTTTTGTTGCTGTTGCTGGTCGTTATGTTGCTGGGGCTGGCTCTTTAGGCGGCCGCCCTTTTGTTAGGCCAGGCTCGTGTCTCGGTCGATGCTCACCTCACCTCACCTCACCTCTTTTCTCAAAATTCCGTGATATAGCCCGCGATACAGCCGCGAGTAGCGATCGCGCGATAGTCACGTAATCGCTAATCACGGCTGTATCACGGGCTATGTAAACTAATTGATTTTAGAGGTTTCCGGCGTGCGGGGTTACCGGGCCACTCTTTATCCGAGAGGGTTCCCGGTCCCTGTACAACACCAACCGAAACAGGGAACAAACGGGTACGTACCCATAATTTTGACATCTCTGCGCCAGTGAGCTGCCAGGGGCCAGGGGTACTTAAGTTGCTCCGAGTTCTGCACCTTGGTTGCAAATGACTCACGCTGTCTCCGACCGCGTTGCTTAGGGCCCCTGCTTCCTTCACTCTGTCCCGCGCCAAGCACCCTGGACCCCTATAGGCACCCTAAACCCTAAGCCCTCTGCGCCCTTTAAACCCTCTAAACCCCCTAAACCCTCTAAACCTTCTAAAGCCCTTTACACCCTAAAACCATCTGAACCCTCTACCGCCCTCTACAGCCCTCTAAACCCTAAACCTTCTAAAGCCCTCTAAACCCTAAACCCTGTATGACCCTAAACCCTAACCCGGCGAACCCTGAAGCTCCCAGCGCAGGTTCTTCTGCCTCTCATTGCTGTGCCCAAGGAGCAGGACCGGTGTCCTGTCATTACCAGCAAGGACTTAGAAGGATTTTTACATTTCTATTGGCCTCTAGAACCCCAAGAACCCGTAGAAGTTCATGTTTTGTAGGGTCCCCAAACCCTGGACTATTCTGGGTTCATGACACAGGGTTTACAGCCCACCCATGACATCAAAACCGGGATTCCTGTTTGTTCCGTGGTTACTAGGAGAATCTACACCCCGCAAACCATAAGCCCTAAACCTAAACCCTTAACCCTAAGCCCTAAACCCTAAACCTTTATCTCTAAACCCCTCACCCTAAAACCCTAAACCCTACACCATAAACCCTAAACCCTCCCTAGAGGATCCGAGCCTGCAGGACGAAGAGAGGATGGCAGCATTTGAGGAGCTGCAAGCGACTCGGAGCTTCTGCCTCTTTGCTGTGGGGTTTAGGCCCTGGTTTAGGGTTTCGGGAACCCTAAACCCTAAACCCTAAACCCTAAACCCTAAACCCTAAACCCTAAACCCTAAACCCTAAACCCTAAACCCTGGGGCATTCAAGTCCGCGAGCTCCGTCATGGGAGTCCTGGTCGAAGTTGTCGAAGAGCTATGGGAAGATGTGAGTGCCCTGAAAGCCTCAACCTCGCCTCCGAAACCCAGACTCAGATGCTCTTAGTTCTTTCCCGGGGGCCCTCTAGGAGCCCTGAATTTTGGGGGGCTATGAGGGTTTAGGGTGCATCGGATTTCTTGGGACGACTCCATTCCCAAGTAGGTAACGAGACCACAGGCACAAGACCCTAACCCCGTTTAGGGCTCATCAAGGTCCTCAAGGTCCTGCAAAGCCGTGACTCTGAGGCTTTGTCCGGGCTTGCGTGCCATCAGTGTTCGTCCCAGCCGGGCAGCAACATGTTGCAGGTTTCGGTTTTAGGGTTTAGGGTGCTTTGGCTCTCTGGTTTCTCGGATGATTAGAAGGGAATGAAGGAATGAGGCTAATGTGGTACCCTACATTCCCTGAAAGGGTGGAAGTCGGTGATCTGAGGTACCTGACTCCCAAGTTACTTTACGACAGAAAAGTCCAGGTCAGCGAATCTTCTGCTTGAACGTTTTTAGGGTTTAGGGTTTAGGGTTCAAGGCTCGCTGACGGCACTTCCCCTGGAGCTGCCGTCGGAACTCTTCGCCACCCTGGTCGAGCGCTCGCTGCAGGTGACTGGCAAAGCTGGATTCCCTAAACCCCAAACCCCACCAACCCCACCAACCCCACCAACCCCACAAACCCCACAAACCCCACAAACCCCACAAACCCCACAAACCCCACAAACCCCACAAACCCCACAAACCCCACAAACCCCACAAACCCCACAACCCCACAAACCCCACAAACCCCACAAACCCCACAAACCCCACAAACCCCACAAACCCCACAAACCCCACAAACCCCACAAACCCCACAAACCCCAAACCCTAAACCCTAAACCCCAAACCCTAAGCTACCATGTGCTGAAGGCTAAATGAAGCCTAAGAGGGCTTTTGGTCCAGAAGCTCGTTTGGGCAGGTGCTGTTCCTGGCTTTGCCCGCCGATGATGCGGAGCCGTCAAGGACTTAGCTGGGATGTCTGGATAGGGTTTAGGGCTTAGGGTTTAGAGTTTTGGGCTTAGGGATGAGGGTTTAGGGCGTGTAGGGTTTAGGGTTTAGGGTTTAGGGTGTAGCATTTGGTCACCTGAACGCAAAAGTGTGAAGACATGCCCACCCCAAGGCCACCGATTCACAACTCGCAGCGAACCGGACCGGAGCCAGCCCAAACCACGCCAAAGCCACTCACTTGAGCCACTTGGGACATGCTTGGAGCACTTGGGACCCACAGGTCAGAATGAACACTTGGGAAACGATGGGCAACTTTTGGTAAACTTTCAAGGCACTGGGCATTGCTTGGCATGTACTTGGTGCACTTGTGACTCGCTGTTGGTTCATTTGGGGATACTTGAATCACTTGGGTCTTTTGGGACACTCTGGCAATTTATTTGGCTTGGGAACTTCCCGGGGCCTCCAGGCGCCTGCCTGGGGGCGAAAACGGTCCCAACGAGCTTTAGGGTCTAGGGTTTAGGGTTTAGGGTTTAGGGTTTAGGGTTTAGGGTTTAGGGTTTAGGCTCCGGCTGACCTGGCTGGAAGCCCCGGTCCGCAGGAACAGGTCATGTTATACAGGTGAAGGATCGCGGTCTGATCGGGTTTAAGGCTTGGGGTGAGAGGTCTCTTTTTTATGGTATCCTAAGTACACTGCCCCGGAAATGACCAGATGAACCATACGGATAAGCGCCATGCAGCCCTTTTTCCGTATGGGTACTTCCTAAAGGGTACCCAGTCGTATGACCCGAATATTGCTGAAGCACCCTAGACCCTAAACCCGAAACCTAAACCCTAAACCCTAACCCCTAAACCCTTACCCCCCAACCCTTGACCCTAAACTCCTGACATTAGGATCTCCCTCCCCCTTAAACCATGACCCCCCCTTCAGTCCTCTGGCAAGTTGCAGGTCGAGATCTCGATCTGCCTCATCAGGCACGGCGTTTTGGAAGAGACCCTCCTGGCCTAATACAGGAGCCAAAGGGTTTAGGGTTTAGGGTCTTATCAGGGGTTAAGCAGGTTCATCCCCTACAATCCTGGCTAACCTGTGGGTTTAGGGACAAGGCATAGGTGTTTGGTGCGCACGACGGCTTCTGCGCGAAAATGCTGCCACAAGAAGTGTGTAGGCTGCAGACGACCTTCTCCATGATAGCCTGAGTCAGGTGACGGAAAGCTGGCATTGCAGGCAGGGCCGCCACTTTGTGTTCTCAGCTTTTCCAGATTCTCACATTGTCCGTGGATTTTCCTTGAAAACAGTCGGGCGCACCTACTTAGTGATTTGCCTTTTGCACTTGCAAAGAGTGCATAGAGTACCCATGAGCGTGACAAGAATTTTGAGGCGGTCATGTAACTTTATGCGATTAGAGATGCCCTCAATGCCTTGGGACCCCACCAACATTTTGGGGTCATCGAGTCCCCCAATTTTTCAGATGTAGGGTTGAGGGTTTTGGGTGAAACCCTAAACCCCTGAAGCCTGAACCCTGACAGCGTCTCGTGACAGGGCGCGGACAGCAGCAGGGCTGAGGCGGACTGCGACAGACAGACAGGTATACGCTATATATATATACTATGTTATATGTATATAGATATATAAATATGAAATGAGAGAGAGAGGGAGGGAGAGAGAGAGATACAATAAAATGTTGGATGGAGCGAGCGAGAGCGGTTCAGTTTTTTGCCATGCTGCAGAGCATGAGTAGATGCAGAAAGATGTGGATATGGTTTTCAAGTTCAGTGTGGAGCATGTCGGTGCCGAAGATTTTGCAGAGCGCGCGGCGGGCTCAAGGTAGCACGCGCCCAGTTCCTCTGCCCCAGACAGCTCCATGCAAGGCGAAATCGTGCGCCGAGGGGAGGCGCTCCTGGGCATCGCCAAGGAGGTGCAGTGCCGACGCAGGGTCTTCGGGATCAGTCTACTTGGGGCGATCCTCTTGACACTTGGCCTCCTCTTCTTCCCACAGATCTTAGGTGGAGGCCGGGATCAAGACCTGCAGGGCGAGGAGAGACCCGGAATCACCAGCCGGGCGCAGTTCCCAGGAGTTCCCGGACTACCAGGGCACCTCAGTGGTGTCAACCTGGGTGGCTGGTTGTGCTTAGAGGATTGGTTCTACTCCGGGGACACCGGCGTGCACGTCTCCAGCATTGATGAGGCCGGCCAGGGCGCCTGCCTTCCGCCAGCTGTGACGCAGTTGGAGAAACCTTGGCCTTCTGAGGGCCACTTGACCTTTAGGTTGAACCAGACGAAGGGGACCAAGTTCGCAATCAAGGCCCTGACAGCACACCGCCATTCCTTCATCGGCGAGACGGACTTGGCAGCCATCCGTGAGCTGGGGCTCAGTGTAGTCAGGGTGCCCATTACTTGGGCTGCCTTTGCGGATGCCCTCGTGCCTCTAGACCAGCAGGTCTACGGATCTCACAACCCGCACACTGAAACAGCGATCGTCCCAGACCCCTTCTACAACGACCGGGCGGCCTTCGCAACGATCCCCCGCGACTGGCTGGCACAGCTGCTGCGGCGATGCGCCGAGCATGGCTTGAAGGCCCTCATTGACCTCCACGCCTTCCCTGGTGGGGCAGCCCTGGGAACCTACAACGGTGTGTGGCCTGACAAGCCGGCCTTTTGGCGGAATCAGACCAAGATTGGGAAGGAGCCCCTGACACAGGTGGGTCTGTGGATTGTGAGCTCGGCCGTGACATGGTTGGAAAGCCTCGATGTTGAGGCCCAGGCCGGCCTTTTGGGCCTCACCGTCATGAACGAGCCCGCCCACCTCAACTCGGGAGCAAAGTTCCTTGGGGCCCAAATGAGCTCTAAAATTGGAGGCACCACAATAATTCCTAGTAAGGTATATGAACCATAAACCCTTTTGGAGTTCATTTCGTCCCCAAGGTTCGCAGAGGAGGCAGACGTGCTCAAGTGGCTGGCCAATGCGGCACAGATCTTCCGCTTGTCCACGCTGCCCAGCCAGGGTGTCAAGCTCTACATGCAGCTGATCGACACGGCCTTCCAAAATTTCACAGAGACCGTCGTGCCATGGTTCTCCCAGACATTCACAGCCAGCGAGAGGTTGAGCTGGGTGGTTGCCGATCAACACTGGTACACAGCGTGGGACGCGGGCCATTGTGACATGCGCACGTCGGAGGACGGAGGCCTCACGTGCGACACGCCCTTGGAGACCATAAGACGTAAGATGCGCTCTTGCGCTACCGCCTTCTCCTCCAAGCTTCCAAGCCGCAGCTGGAGCGAGACAATTTTTTGTATTGAATATATATATATATATATTATTATTATTATTATTATTATTATTATTATTATTATTATTATTTTTTTTATTATTTTATTATTATTATGATTATATTATATTATATTATATTATATATTATATTATATATATGTATATGTATATATGTATATATGTATATATGTATATATGTATATATGTATATATGTATATATGTATATATGTATATATGTATGTATATATATATATATATATATATAGGCCCCCCTTTTTTTGGGCCTGAAGCAACCCTAAGCCCCTACAACGCTATCCCTAAAACCCTTGACGCCCCAACACCCCCAAACCCCAGGCCGTAAGCTCCAAACCCCTAAAACCCTAACGTCCTAGAAACCCTAACACCCTGTTAGCTCTAAAAAGTTACTATTTGCTTAACAACTTCTTCCTTATAAGGGCAATATAGGGATTATTGGTCTGTTGTGTTTTTTGGGGGTTCTCAAGCAAATAGCAACCCCAAAAACCCTCACAACCCTAAAACAAACACTTAAGAACCCTCAAAAAAAACCCTAAAACCCTACAACACCCTTTAAAAGCTCCTTAAAAACAGGTTCAACAGCCAGTTCGGCGGGCTCATGGCCGTGAGCGAGTTCTCGGCCGGCACGGCCGACGAGGCGCGCTTCGCTTGCACCGACCGCGCCGTGGTCCGCACGCAACTTGGCACCAAGAATTCTGTTTAGGGTTTCCAGGGTTTGGGGTTTAGGGTTTAGGGTTTGGGGTTTGGGGTTTAGGGTTTAGGGTTTAGGGCTTCGATAGGGTTTGGGGTTTAGGGTTTCGGGAGAGAGAATGGGATTCTACAAGGAATTCTGATAGTAACACTATAAACAACGGCAGGATGAATAGTAAGATCTGAAGCGCGACAGGAGGAAAAGGCTAAAACACATGTTTCCATCACGTGCCGAGGGGCTTTTCTGGTGTGCGGTTTCTGGGTAGAGGTATGTTTGAGAGTTCATGGTGAGAAGTCCTTGCGTGGGGAAGTAGTGACGAAGAACGAGACTGACCCGTTACTTACCTCATGAACCTTAGGGAGCCTTAGGGAGTAGTGGGGAGTATTTGGGAACCTTGGGCTACAGACTCCCTAAACCCTATAGGCCCTAAACCCTAAACCCAAAATCCCCGAAATATTTTCAGAAGGCTCCTTTCAGTCGAGGTTTCTCCAGGAGCAGCTCACTGCATGGGACGAGGTGGGAATACAAGGCAGGAGATTAGGGTCCTTGGGCGTCAGGGTTTAGGTTTTGGGGTTTAGGGTTTAGGGTCCAAGTGCTTCAGATCGATACCTGGGGCTTTCCGAAAATAGTGGTACCCTTTTGGGGGGGATCCCTTTATACTGTTCTATTTGGGGTCTAGAAGGGGTACCCCTAGTTGGGGAAATACCATCTCCTTTTGGAAGCAGCAGCTGAGCCTTAGCAAACCCTGTGAAGCTCCAGACTCCAGATTTCCCGCTGGCTTGAAAGGATAGAAACCCCCTGTTTAACCCTGCGTAAAGGATATATAGACCCACTCCATTCAACCCACCCTATTCAACCCTTCATAAACGGAGATAAAACCACAGTAAGTTTAAGGACATAAAGCCCTATGAAGCCCTACATCAAAGGAAACATCCACCACGTTTACTTGAAAGGACATCACAACCCTCTTATAAGCCCTACAAAGAAAAGGCTTCTTCTGGACCTGGCGGATGCCCTACGGCAGGGCCTTCGAGCCTGGATGGAGCCTCCGCTGGCTGGCCGGCCTCGAGGAGCCCCTGAGGGCCTTGCCGTGCCAAGCCCCCGCGGCCCCCGCGACCGCGTCCCTCTTGGTGTAGGGATAGGGATATGGCCAGGGGGTGTTCCCAAGAGAGGGGTATCTATATGAGGAACATATGAGGGAGTATGTTGGGTGTATATTGTATGTATATATACATACATATATAGATAAGTTTAGATTTATGCATTCATGAATTTATTTGGGGCACCCCTATTTCGGGAAGCACCCCAGAGTGATGTTTTCAACGCATCTCATGGATCTGAAAGCCCTAGGGCCCAGTCCGTTTCCGTCGCACGACTGTAGCAGCATAGACTAGGAATCACAGCCTGACTTGAGGCTCATGATCAATTTCGTGCGAAGACAACAGAAACAAGCTGCAACGCTTGAGTTGTGTTTTGCTTGGGCAGCTGCCCCTGAGTCCCCGAGATTCTTGCCGCGAGAAGTGCAGGCAGCTCTGCACATCCGCTTGCAGGCTGTGATCAGCACCGCGCTGAGCTTCTGAGATGTTTGTTTGTTTGTGTTTGTTGTTTGTTTTCCGTCGAGGGGGAGGGGGGGGGAGAGGAGAGGCATTGTGGTCTCAAACTTGCGCATGCTGGGCTTGAGCGATTTGCACAACCTCTTATAGGGACTGGGGTTGAGGGCTTTAACAAACTGGTATACACAAAAGGCCTGAACAACTTTCATCGCAATTCCAAAAACATTAAAAACGGGACATGAAGGACACCTGTTCGGAGGCTATGCACCCACGTTCTCACATATGATCTTGTTGATCATGCAGGAGCACCTCTACATGACTTGCGATGTTCTGCTGCAACTATGAAACAGTCTCATTCTGCCAAAACTGCTCTATGGCATTGCTGAAGTTTCATGTTGTTAGGGTTGTCTTTGTGCTGAACAATACTTCGTTGTCCTGTTAAGGCAAGGTCTCACATGGGCTTTGCTAACATTCTAGTTCCTTCACTTATAGGGTTTGTTGCATTCAGCTTCAAAATAAGACCCGAGTTGAGCGCAAGCTCGAGTCCGCACTCAAGATCCCTAAGCCCAGGCACCCCAAGAAACCTGAGACCCGAAAACCCCAAAAACTCAAAAAAACTCAAAAGCCCTGAACAAGAAGACTCCTAAAACTCCCTGAAGCCCTAATCTCCTCAACCCCTGCAGCCCTAAACCCTGAACCCTGAACCCTAAACCCTAAACCCTAACCCCTGCATGAAGCCACGAATCGTACCAAGGCCTCATGAAGGCCCTACTCTTCCACGCGCATACCTGGCTTGGAATCTCGCGGCTGCTTCAGGCTGGCTTATTGGGGGGTTTAGGGTTTAGGGTTTAGGGTTTAGGGTTTAGGGTTTAGGGTTTAGGGTTTAGGGTTTAGGGTTTAGGGTTTAGGGTTTAGGGTTTAGGGGGTGTTCAGTGTTCAGGGTTTAGGGTCTAGAGTCAGGGGGCCTAGACACAGGTGCTAGGTCGGTAGCCTTGATCCTTGTTTGGTGCTCTGAATCCTCAAAAACCAGCGGGTTCACCTGCTTTCCCCTCGAGCAGTCGGCCACTCAATATATAGGAGGCCTAATCCTTGTTGTTGTTTGCAGTTGGAGTCCCTATAAACGATAAACCCCATTGAGCCGAAAAGGGCATCCTGATCATCGTAGATTGCCGCCGAACCTAGTCTTGGGGGCTTAGGTCCCCTTGAAACCCAAAAAGGGTGCCCTCTTTATTCCTGGGGTGCTCTTGGGCGAAGTAGTAGTTTACCGTGCCATAAGGATTTGGGCTTATAGGGTCTGTTGGGCCTTTGACCCCTAACCCCTGAACCGTAGAATTGCTTTTTGCAGACCGTGTCTGGCTGCGCTTCGATGTTCGGAACGTAGATTCGTGTTCAGGGTTGACCCTAACAGCCTAGGTGATGCATGCACAATTGCAACAAAGCATCGACACCGCAAAAACAAGCAAAACCTAACTTCTCAAACCAGAGGCAAAGTTTCGCACCCGGGAAACCAGAAACCCCAAATGCTTAAACTCTGCAAAAGCTCAAAGACCCTACACACCCCAAAACCGTAAACCGGCCTGAAAACCCTACAAACCCTACAGGCACTAAAAACCCTAAGCACAGCAAAACATCCTGCCCTAAGAGCCCCTTAAACCAGCAAGTCTCCTGCCTAAAAACCCTTAAACCCTAAAAACCCCTTAAACCAGCAAGTCTCCTGCCTTAAAACCCTTAAACCCTCATCCTATATAAACCCTATACATATATATATATATACCCTATGTATATATATATATATATACTTATATTTATTTATATATATATATATATATTCATTTATTTATTTATTGATAGCCTGTATAGACCCTGCATGAACGCTGTTAATACCCTCAGCAAGCATCCGGGGCCCTTGAGGCGGTCCATGCTGCGGGGGCTCGAAGCAGCTTCGAGTCGGTTCGCAGAAGCCCCAGCTGAGGGTGTAGGGGGTTTAGGGTTTAGGGTTTGGGGTTTAGGGTTTGGGGTTTAGGGTTTAGGGTTTAGGGCAAAGTTTAGGGTTTAGGGTTTAGGGGGTCGGAACAACTGCTGATACTGTTCCCTGATGGTCCCTATATAACTATACTGTATTAACCCCCCAAGGCCCTCTGAGAGTTGTTAAGGCCCCTATATGAGGGGGATTAGGGTCTAAAGGGCTGGAATTGAACGCGTATAGAGGGATTTTGAGGGTTTATAGGAGACTCTTGGATTCATCTTTGGGATTAGGGATTTGTGTGTGTTAGGGATTTAGAGCATCTAGGAACTGAGGGAATCTGGGGCCGGGATTTTGGGGATTGAGGGGTTATAAGGAGGTTCAGAGGAGTTTGTGGCCTCTAGGCGGAGTGTCAGGGTTGAGGGTTTAGGCTTAGGGTTTAGGAGTCTAGAGGTTCGGTGATGTTTGGGGTTTGGGCTGGGCGTCTGAAGCTTCGAGGGCTTTATGGAGTTTATGTCGAGAGATTCTTCCAGCGCAGACCGCAAGCCCTAAACCCTAGACCCAAGGGCATTCCAAGTGCACTCCAAGAGAACTCCCTGAGCACTCCATTTTTTTTTTTGCTGGGGGGGGGGGGGGGGTGTGTTAAGTTTTAGGTTCCCTGACCTTTTTGTTTATGAAAAGAATTGTCCCCCTTTCAATCTAGGTTATAGGGAAACCTAGAAGGAGAGCACACGAAAAACAACAACAAGCATTGATCAAGACCAGTTTAAGCCGCACTGGTTGGAAAATCGATGCTAGGGGTCAGAGGGGTCGTTCAACGTTAGGGCCCCGGCTTATAGTTATCTTTCACCATGGGCTCCAGTTTGCAAGCTTTGTTCTTTTTTTGCCCTAAGACAATTTTGATGCAGAGAACTGACCATAGGGCAGTTCTCTGATGGTGGTCCCTTTCGGGTGCCCTAGGGCTCTCTGGGGTTTAGGGTTCTAGGGTTCAGGGTTTAGGGATCAGTGTTACCCAAAACCCTAAAACCCTAAAACCCTAAAACCCTGAAACCCTAAAACCCTAAAACCCTAAAACCCTAAAACCCTGAAACCCTAAACCCTAAACCCCCCCCAAGCCCTGAAGGGTCTAGACACCACTGCGGTCATTCAGGTTGGACCTGCATGCAGATCATCGGCGTGTCCGGCTTGGAGTTGGCAACCGACCTTAGGGGTTTAGGGTTTAGGGGTAGGGTTTAGGGTTTTGGGTTTTGGGTTTTGGGTTTTGGGTTTAGGGTTTAGGGTTCAGGGTTTAGGGTTTAGGGTTTAGGAGATACCTTACAGGGGTGCCCTTATTACAAGGGAATCCTACTGTTCGGGGTCTATGATTTCTGGGGGGCCCCTTATTGTCGTCCATCTGAAGCCTACTTAGTTGGAATGCCTTCATTTGAGAGCATTATTTTTGCATGTGTGAGTTTTTTCTTTTCTTTAACTAGAGTCTGGAGAGTGGTCGTTCGAAGATATAAGGTTTGCTCGCATCTTCCTGCAGGGATATTATTGGCAGCTACTTCGCCCCCTTCGGCGGCGCAAGTGAAAGACAGGGCCCCATGCGTTGCAGCGGTTCTGCAGTCTTGTGCACATGGCAGGTGAGCTGTGCAAAGTGGCACCGCTTGTGGCGCTGCCCAATGAGGATGGCGAAGAAACTGCCTCAGGAGCGGGATGAACTCTTGATTGCGCCTACATGTGGGGGCACCTTGGATCTCATCGGGAATAAAGGATCTGGTCTGGCTTCTGAATCTGTGTGGCAACGTTATTTCTCTGTGCCTCTGTGCCTCTGTGCCTCTGTGCCTCTGTGCCTCTGTGCCTCTGTGCCTCTGTGCCTCTGTGCCTCTGTGCCTCTGTGCCTCTGTGCCTCTCTCTCTCTCTCTCTCTCTCTCTCTCTCTTCTCTCTCCCTCGCGCACGCTCGCTCTCTCTCTCTCTCTGAATGATGCTGGGACAGGTTTTGCCAGCTGCATTGTCAGAATGCATCTTTGGGATTGGGACATCTCACTGTAGGATGGCCCTGCGACTGAGCGACATAGGACGTATACGAGAGGTCACGGCACGACAGGTGGGTTTGTCTATAGCACCGTGGTCGTCGAACTCCAAAGCTTCCACACATCCCAACCAGGGATCGAAGGGTCCAAACTTCCGAGGCATGAACCTCCTGCGTGCACTTGATATACCACCTGCCGCGCTGGCAGGCTGCTCCGATTTGGGAGACTGGTCTGAGTGCCATTCTCAGAGCATACTTCTGGCCTGGTGATGGGAGAAATCAGTGCCACCCTGGCATGCGTGAGGTCGTTGGCGCTGCTGCTGCCACGGATGGGTGATGGCTCTAAGGCGCCATGACTGATTCACAGTGTCCATCTGATGCGCAGCCACATGTGCAACACACGATGCACCGTGACCAAAGACTGGCTTGTACATGCTGCGCTAGAGCTGCCAACCGATGTCGCCTCTACTTCTACAATGCCGCGAATTGTCGAATTCGGCGTGGCTTTTTCCGAGCATTACGCATTGCTGATGAACCACATGCGATGGGCTTGCATCGGCCCATGCGTCTTGGGCGCAGAATCCGGCGGTCGCCCTAAACCCTAAACCCTAAACCCTAAACCCTAAACCCTAAGCCCTAAACCATACTGCCAGGCGGTGGCTGCAGCCAGCTTGGATGCTGTGCAGCAGCTCCTGGCACGATGCACCTTCACACAGTCCGTCCGCATAGGCCGGAAGTGGCGAAGATCCAGTGCCTCACAGCATGCCGGCATTCAGTCCTATAAAATCAGATGTATATAGGAGATACATACATGTTACCATATAAAAATGTATAGTCTACACAAATATATACATATATATGTACATACACATATTCCCCCTAAACTTAAAGCTACTCCCCCCCGGTCGTTGCAAGCCTGGAAGCCGATACCGCCATGCCAGGCGGGGCAGACGAGTACCACAAGCTTTCGGAGGTAGGGCCAAGCCCACCTTTAGGGATTTCTTTTGGGTTTGGGAGATTTTTGGGCAGGGTGTTTAGGCAGGGTTTAGAGTTTGGAGTCTAGGCTGTAAGGTTTGGGGTTTCAGAAGATGCTTCAGACATGTTGCCAAGAGCAGCAGCCGGTACTGAATTGCATCAAGCACAGGCGGTCCCAATTGAGGCAATGCTCAGGTTACGTACCAGGTTGTTTGCGAACGCCGCAGAAGGTGCATTCTTTTCATGCCTTTGCACAGGACGAATCTGCGAGCTTCAGCGAGGAACAGACAGGCGAGATTCTGGTGCCTGGACACTGCAAGGTCAACTGCGGTAGCTTGCGCTGGGAGACAGGGAGTATACGTCGATTCTATTGGCAGAGGCAGAAGCTTGAAAAGGTCTCTGAAATCGCCATTGCTGCTTGTGTTTGCAGGCCTCGTCGTGGAAAGCATCGAATTGCGCGGGGATCCCGTCACGGACCAAGCTATCACGCCATGAATCTCTTCCCTGATAGGTTTAGGGTTTACACAGTGTTTAGGTTTGAGGGGGTTCAGAAATGATTATAGGGCTTATAGAGTTAAAATGTGGGTTTATAGGGCAACTAAACCTGAAGCCAAGCCGGACTCAGCAGCTCCCTCAAATTTGTTTTTGCGGGGCTAATCTACGAAAGTGAGCCTTACTTGTGTCTCCGTTATCTTATGTTCTCCTCTTCACTGGGTTAGGGTGCCATATCTCATGGTGTACTCATCGTGTTAGGGTACCTTGTGGTGTACGCGTCATTGGCTTAGGGCACCCAAATGGGCCCGCAAGAATTTGGACCCCCAAAGTTTAAGGTTTAGGGTCTATATGCTTGGGGTTTAAGGGTGTACAGGGTCGAGGAAGCTACTTTGGAATACTCAAGGGATTCAAACTCGTGGAAAACTTTCAAGACATACATCCCCTAAACCCTAAACCCTACCCCTCGAAGCACAGGTCCCTGCCTCTCAGCAGCTGGTTGGAGCGTTGGTCGCCAATTTGCCTGCCGCCGCGATGCCGACGATGGCGCGGCTGGCGCAGTTGTCCAAGAGTCCGGCAAAACCCTAAAGTTTAGGGTTTAGGGTTTAGGGTTTAGGGCTTAGGGCTTAGGGCTTAGGGTCTAGGGTTTAGGGTTTAGGGTTTAGGGTTTAGGGTTTAGGGTTTAGTAAACCCTACATATCCCTACAAACCCCAAGCCCTGAACCCTAGGCCTTAAGCCCTGAACCCTAAACCCTAAACCTTAAACCCTGAACCCTTACACCCTGATGTCTTCCAAAGCGCACCCCCCCTCTAAACTCCGAGCAATCTGGTGCCCCGTTGCCCCTTGAACATCCCCAAACTGGAGTAGAGACCCCTCGGGTTGAGGGGTTGAGAGTTGGAGGAGCAGATTCACGATGCAGGCCCTAAACCCTAAACCCCAAACCCTAAACCCTAAACCCTAAACGGGGATCACAGTAGAACGTGGCGAAGGTGCAACATCTCATGCCCGCGATGCATGATGTGGCAGCCTCAGTTGCATGCAGACTGAGATATGGTCCCTTCTCAAAATTATGGTCCCTTGTTGGGACCCTAAACCCTAAACCCTAAACCCTAATCCCTAAACCCTAAATAAGAGGGGCCGCCTTTTCAGGAGGACCCCCAAAGGGACCAGATTTTCGAGAAGAGCGATGCTGAAATGCATGTGGAGGATTATGGGCCATGAGTTCTGTGATTCAAAGGGGGTTTGAGTTCGCATGACGCCCTGCGCTTCCACCCTAAACCCTAAACCCTAAACCCTAAACCCTAAACCCTAAACCCTAAACCCTAAACCCTAAACCCTACACCCTACACCCTAAACCCTAAACCCTAAACCCTAAACCCTAAACCCTAAACCCTAAACCCTAAACCCTACACCCTACACCCTAAACCCTAAACCCTAAACCCTAAACCCTAAACCCTAAACCCTAAACCCTAACCTGCTCATCAAGGCGGATAGCCACGCAGCACTGACTGGCGCAGACGCACTGTACTTGCCGCTTGTCACCCGAGATCAGCCCCAAGTGTACCCGAAACATCCCTAAACGGGTTTAGGGTTTGGGGTTTAGGGTTAAACTCCCTTGGTTTGAAGCCACACTCCCGAACCAACTCCCAATCCCTGAACCCTATAAGGGGTGAACCTCCGGAGGGTCCAGTTAAGGTAGTATACAAGAGCCCAAATGTTGACCCCAGACGCCGAAACGCCTAAACCTACCTATTTACCTACAGTTTTAAGGGGTTGTACCTACGAAATAGGGGTGTACTTATTAAACTGTAGGTAAATAGAGGTGCCAAGTAAGCCCTGTAAATCCGAAGCCCGAAAAGCCTTCAAGTGCCCTCAAGCCCTGCAGCCCACATGGGACCCTAAACCCTAAGCCCAAAGCCCTAACCCTAAACCCTAAACCCGAAACCCCAAACCCCAAACCCTAAACCCTAAGCCCTAAACCCTGGCGCGGTAAGGATCCTCGAGTCCTGCGTCGAGAAGATGGATGCGGAGGCGGCGTCCAACGTGGTCAGCACCGTCTTCGAGGAGGCGGGGCCTAAGATTTTCAGGGTTTAGGGTTTAGGGTTTAGGGCTAGGGTTTAGGGTTTAGGGTTTAGGGCTTATCGAATTTGGGGAGAGTGGCTTTTACCGTGGCGGTTAGGGTTCTCATAGGTCCCTGTAGCTCTAGATGCAGGAACCCTAAACCCTGGCATGAGCAGCATGTCGAGGTGGAGAAAGTGTGCCACAGCTCCGTGCGCCAGCGCGTGCTATCCTGCATCAAGGCCTCTGCCTTGTGGAGTCGGTTTGGGAGATTTGGACTTGGAAGGCGCTTGGAGGCTGAGAGGGTTCAACAGCAGCACATGCGTTTAGGGCCTTCTCAAGGTGCTGGCTCTCCACCATTTCGATGCTGTGCTTGGCACTCAGTAAAGCCGCCCCCCTAAAACCCTAACACCCTAAACCCTACCCCCGCCACCCAAGGAAAAAGAACAAAGAACAAACAACCATACAAAAACACCCAAAAGCAACCGCCTGTCGAGGATGGAGGAGCTGCTGGGCATGGGCCCAGACCTCAACATGTCCATCATGGGCACCTTGCAGGCCGGCAATGCCCTCGCAGTGATTGCGGGATTTAGGTTTTTTGGTTTAGGGTTTAGGGTTTAGGGTTTTAGGATTTAGGGTTCAGGGTTTATGGTTTTCTATTTCGAAGGTTGTTTTTGCGATAAGGGTTCTAGGGGGTGTATAGTTTAGGGTTTTGGAGTGTTCTAAATTGGGGATAAGGGTCACGTTTCTTGGGGTGGGGTCCTGCGATATCACGGAGCCTTACATGTTGGGCACCAGTGACCTGCACATGGAGAATGTTGGATATGTTGGATACGTTGACACTTTTCTTCATTTTGAGGAGGTGGGGTACTCTAAATCAGGGATCTTTTGGGGTACCCCACATGCAAGCAGGGAGCTTCAGAAGAAACATCACTGAGAACTGACCACATGCAGTGCTAGCACCCATGAATCGGCTAAGCCCCTAGACCCTAACAAGGCCTCAGCGCTCCAAGCCTCTCTCTCTCTCTCTCTCTCTCTCTCTCAAAGCCCTATGAGCCTTGTGCAGCGCATGTCGCTGCCGAAGACTGTGTGTTGAATATAATTTCAGGGATTTAGTACTTGGACTTCAAGGGTTCTAGTCCGTCACGACGAGGTAACTGGAAGTATAGGGCAAAGAGCATGCAACATCTTCTTGCGTCCAGCCTTCTACTTTGGGTGCAGGGCTGGAAAAGGCCGGATCCCAACCCTCACTGTCACAGTAGCCAGTAGCCGACTGGACTGATGTAGCCAGGTGATGGCCAAGGAGAATTCTCTTCTGCTGACCCTCGGCAAGTTCAGATTGAGAAACCGAACAAGGTTGAAACCAGCATTGCTTCTTTCATCACCTGCCGTTGCCTGGGGGTCGCGAGTTCGCGACTGTCTTGCGTCTCGCGACATGATAGGCGCGTTCATGCGGTGCGATGCTGCCAAGGAAGCTCCTCAATCATCTGACGGTAGCTTGCTTGCATTCAAGTGGCACTAAACCCTAAACTCTACATCACCATGGATGGCATTTGATACGCCATGAGCCTTAGACGCACTTGTTGCGTGATCTCTGCAGCTTGGCAGTCACTGTCTTGGCCATGCTTGGCATCCAAGGCGATTCTGATGGAGCCTCAGTATGATGCAATGCTGTACCCATGAGTACCCATGCCTCTAGCCGTCACAATGGATGCTTCCTCATAGACCAATTGACCAGTATGCACGGGGACATGGTCTGCATTGTGCCGGGGAAGTAGCATTCATTGCAGCACCAAAGCTTCAAGAGGACTGCCAGCTTGGGCAGGTGTACAGTGTACAGCAGTTGCGTTTCAGCTGTCTGTCCCGCAATGGCTTGTGCTTTCGATGAGCAGTGGGAGCTTGCTCCAGCCCCCAGGCACAAGAAGAAGCTTCTGCGGCATGTCCGCCACAGCTGGTTGAGGGAGCCCGTGCCGCATCCAGATGACCTCTCCGAGTCCAAGAAGGCTCTGAAGGTTGTGGCGGATGCAAGTTTGGAGGAGTGTCTCGACCCTTGGGGAACCACATGAACCCTTTTAGGGTTGAGGGTTCCTGCTAAGGTATATGAACCCTTTTAGGGCCTTAGGGTTCCTATTAAGGTACTGTGGAACTTAAGCCCTTTTAAGGCTCATTTGGTCCCCCCAAGGACGAGATGTTGAGTGAGCGGCAAGATGCAACTTCCAGCCTGACCTCCTCACGCAAGCTCGACAAGCACCTTGGGGATCAAATGAGCCCGAAAATGGGGGTCATATACCCTACGCTGCTATGATTCCTTTTAAGGGAATATGAACCCTGAACCCCTTTAGGGCTCATTTTTCCTATTGAGGCATATGAACCATAAAACCCTTTACCTCGGGTTCAGAATTGGCCCGCAAGGCAATGGAGCTCCTTGTTGAGTACAGCGCGGCGTAAGGTTCAAGGCTCCATTGAGACAGAGTTCGGTCCCGAGACCAAGCTGGAGCCGCTTCACCCCGACCCACAAGTCAAAGAAGCTAGGACCGGGAGGAGGCTTTTTTTTGTTTTTGTTTTTCCTTTTTTTTAGGGTTGGGGTTCCCCTATAATCCCCTTAGCCTATTTATTAGGTACCCTTTTTTTATTTCCTAGGTTACTCCCGGGTCTAGGAAGACTTCTTCTTTGCCCGGAAATGCTTCTCGCACACCACGACCTTCACATACCACGGAACCAAATCCCGGAACATCGCTTCTATCTCTCGCGTCGGCCTGCTGATGCCCGGTACGAGTCTCGGTGGGCCCTTGGGACATTTTACAATTTCCCTTATCGTTGGTTTGAGAGGATCATATAAACCCTAAACCCTAAACCCCAAAACCTTATTCCTTCAGGGATACTCTTCAGAGGGTTTAAAGGGCCATCCTAGGAATGGGCACAAGGTCGCAAACGGATCTGCGCATGGCGTGGGAATCTACACTGCTCAGCTGGGCTCAGCAACTTTGTCCAAGGGCTTCTGTGACTCCAACAAGATGTTTCTTTGTCATAGTTGGGTGCCATTTTTTCTTTTTAATGGTACTTAAACCCTATAAGGAATACAAAAATAGTTTTTATTATCCCAGCCATGAACTAGGTTTGTGTGCGCTGTCTGCGATTCCAGCCAACCTGTGGATGAGCCAGAGGTTACGCCCCTTTGCTTTTCAGCGCAAGGGCCTTTAGCAGCAGAAATCATAGCAGTTGGGATGTTCCCTCTGAAACTAACAGTTACTAACAGTCCTTAATAGGGATTATAGTACCCCCCCCTATTATCATCCCTATTAAGGACTGCTAGTATAAGGGGCCAACATAGCATTCATAATTAGCATGATGCATCACATTTGCTGAGCAATGTCGTAACTCCAACACAGGCATGGTGATTTTTGTCCATGTTTTACGTTAAGAAGTTTGCAGAGCAGTACCTTGCGCCGAGGCTCGACACGCAGTGGAAACCTTCAGGAACCATCGCGACTAGGCAGCACGCTTTCAGAGCCCATACCGGCGAATTTCGGTGTCATCCTTTTCCTACCGGTAGCTGTGCGCCAAAGATGAGCAGACCAAAAAAAGCGACGAGGTCCAGACGATCTTCCCAAAAGGTCCCGCAGCTGTCAACGTCCACCCGTCAGTGAAGCGACTGGGCAGACACGACGCTCTGTTGCAGTTTTTGGGGAACAAATGAGCCTTGGGGGTCATATTCCCTCTAGTACGATGACCCCTGTTAAGGAACATGAACCATAAACCCTTTTAGGGCTCATTTCGTCCCCAAGGGGGTCTTCAGCCTTTTTTTTTGGAGTCCACGAGCGGGTCCTTAAGGGAGTGGGGGGGTTCAAGTACCCCCCCCCCCCCCCCATGAACTCTCCGCCCTCAAGAACCCAAGAAGTCCACGAGACCAACGAATTGGTTTCGTTGTTTCTTAGGTAGGCCCTTGAACTATGCCATGCTTTCGCTCGTTGATTGTTGGGTGTAAGAGGATCTTATGTAGGAATCTCTTTCAGAGGGTTTTTCAGGGGCCATCCGAGTAGTTCCGTTTGCGTTTTAAACATCTTCGGGCTAAGAGTTGAGTTGCTGCACATTGCATGGGACTGTGATGCATGCAAGGTAGTCCCTCTTCCCCAAACTGAATCCCCCCAAGCAAAAGCTCACCGCCTAAACCCTAAACCCTAAACCAGAAAAACCCTAAACCCTAAACCCTAAACCCTAAACCAGTCCGGGGGTGCTCCATCTCCCGCAAACTGGCGCCGACTGAGAACGTCCAGCGCCGCTCCGATCAAGTCCTCCACGTGGGCGATGCCGTAGTGACTTTTCAACAGGGCTGCGTGGTTCCGCTGCTCCTTGTTTGCACAGGGACCCTAAACCCTACAGCGTAAACCCTAAACCCTAATAGAGAGGTTTGCACAGGGACCCAGAGGGGCCCTTGTTCCCTGTAGTGGGGGTTGTAGGATTGCAGTGTTTTGGATTGGGGCGCATATGGCTGTCAGCGATGACTGTAGGTGTGGTTCCGCAAGTGGCGATAGGTAAGTGCGTAGAATTAATGGGGCGTCTGTTTGAATATACGAGAAAACAACAACACACATCATCACCGGATCTCATGCTTGTCTTAAGAGCTTTTCCCCTATTTAGAACCACGAACAATCGTTGTTTGAGATCATCCTGACAGTGCTTTACGGCCCTAAACCCTAACCCTTAACCCTAACCCCTTAAAACCCCCTAAACCCTAAACCCTAAACCCTAAACCCTAACCCTTAACCCTAACCCCTTAAAACCCAACAACAGAATTCCAAGAGGGACGCCATGGGACATGCTGCCAAGCCGGCTTCTGAAGCAGGCGCCCTAAGCCCTGCACCCTAAACCCGAAGCTTTATGAGGATCACACTTCAAAGGAACCCTAAACCCTAAACCCTAAACCCTAAACCCTAAACCCTAAACCCTAAACCCTAAACCCTAAACCCTAAACCTGTCGAGCATCTTTCAGGATTTGGGGCTTGGGCTCGAGGATTTTGCGTCTGACTCCCTTGCTATTAGTATTCCCCTATGTCCCTCTATAAGATAGTGCGCGCCACTGTGGCCTGCGGGAACATAAGCCAGCCCCCCCCCCTCCCCCCCTCCCCCCCCCCCTCTCTTGTTCAATGCCCCCCCCCCCCTCCCCCCCCCCTCCCCCCCCCCCCCCCCCCCCTCCCCCCCCCTCCCCCCCCCCTCTTGTTCAGGGGGGGGGGGGGGGCCCCCCCCCCCCCTTGGTCAATAACAGTGTTCTTTATAGGGTTTCACTTGATTTTAATTAACGTTTTAATAGGACTTCTTTTGATTCTAATCGGGTTTTTGTTACTTTTGAAAGATTTCTAATAATATGAATGAGATTTTTATCCCTTCTAATAAGATTTGTATTAGGTTTAACGGGATTCGTATTGAAATAATAGAAATCCTTGTCGAATTAAGTTCAACTCCTATTACAATTGATTGAACTGCTATTAAAAATTAGTAGAAGTCCGATTAGAAATGCTACGAAAAAAGAAGGCAAATAGAAATCTTGTTACATTAATAGAAATCCTCTTGAAATTAGAAGGATTCCGAATAAAAAGCAATAGGAATCCTACCAAACATGGCAGAGGAAATGTGGAATTGAGCATGGGGGGGGGGGGGGGGGGCAGAGGAAATGTGGAATTGAGCATTGGGGGGGGGGGGGGGGCCGCCCCCTCCCCCCCCCTTTGTTTGTAGGGAGGGGGGGGAGGGGGGTTTGTGGGTGAAGGGGGGGGGGAAGAGGGGGGGGGGGGGGGGGGGGGGGGGGGGGGGGGGGGGGGGGAGGGGGGGGGGGGGGGGGGGAGGGGAGGGGGGGGGAGGGGGGGGGGGGGGAGGGGGGGGAGGGGGGGGGGCGGGGGGGGGGGGGGGGGGGGGGGGGAGGGGGGGGGGGGGGGGGGAAGGGGGGGGGAGGGGGGGGGGGGGGGGAGGGGGGGGGGGGGAGGGGGGGGTTACCTTGAATATCCGCAGGCCTCTTTTTTACGCACTCTCATAAGTAAACATACTCTAATGGCCCCCAAAACCCCCATTCTAATTATGAAGGCCCTCTGCATGATCTGCTGAATTCAGGTTTTTGCTCGCGTGGCCTTCGGAGAAAGAGTGGCAGGAGGAAGATGCCACACTGCCACAGCCTGCAGTGCCAGACCAGCAACTTGCCAGCACCCCACCTAGGGATTAGAGCGCACGGACCCAAGAGGGTCCGTGGTCCATAAGCGAAACCCTAAACCCTGAACCCTAAACCCTAAACCCTGCAGGTCATAGTAGTGCCAGGCAGATGGAGCACAATGCTAGGCTTCACCGTAGTGCCCCAGGATCCGTTCAGGGGCCTAGGATGCAGGTCCCCCTACTCTCAAGTTGTGGCGGAACAGGGTTTAGGGTTTAGGGTTTAGGGTTAAGGGTTTAGGGTTTAGGGTTTAGGAGGGGGCGTACTTTGTGGGCAAGCCGCGAAAACCCGTTCTCGCAGCCGCTTCGCGAAAACAAAACCAAACCCAAGGCCAACCCCGGACCCTAGTGGCCCATAAAGATAGAATCCTGGGATTGAGTGGGGGTTCACGAAAATAAGGGAGTAGTAGGATGGACTGTGGTGTATACAACAGCGGAATGGGGATTATAGCGAAGGCACAGGGCATCTGACCGCTGAAGCCCTAGACATTCTGAACACCCATATCAGCCCTTTCAACCTCAGCAGCACGTAAACAACCCTACTAGCCTACTGCCGCACTGCCCAAAGCCCCAAAACCCTAAACCCTGTGCCCCAAACCCTATAAACGCTAGGTCCCAAAACAATCTGTGGTGAAAATGTGAAACCTCAACACTGGGCTTGTGCTGAAGCACTCTAGCTCTATCCCAAACCCTAAACCCCAAACCCCAAACCCCAAACCCCAAACCCCAAACCCCCAAACCCCAACCCCAAACCCCAAACCCCAAACCCCAAACCCTAAACCCTAAACCCTAGGCTCGTGCTGAAGCACCACGCCTGGGATCTTTTCGAGCAGCCGTGGGAGCTGCCGCAGCAAGTTGGCCGTCGCCGCCTTGCTGTGCACCTTGGTGTGTTGAGGGCAGTTTAGGGTTTAGGGTTTTAGGGTTTTAGGGTGTTAGTAGGGTGTTAGTAGGGTTTTAGTAGGGTTTTTGTAGGGTTTTCGCAGGGTTTTAGGGTTTTAGGGTTTAGGGATGGACTTAAGGTTCAGGGTTCAGGATCTAAGATTTAGTGTTCGGGGTTCCGGTTTTAGATTTTTGGTCCCGGGTTAGGGATTTAGGTTTGGGGGGTTGGGTTCTAGGTCTTTTAACACTTGACAGGGTTTCCAGGCACTACGGTTTTGGTTGGGCTCAGCATTGACGTACTAGCTCCCCCCTAGTACTGGATTCTGAAACTGAGTCTGGGAAGGGGGAAAAGAACTCAAGGTTAGGCGAAATGCATCTTGGATGTTGTCCAAGCAACCCTCAACCGTGTAATTATAGATTGTACGGTGCAATCAGAGAAAGCTTGTGCAGCACCAACTGGCTTCGATCTTACAAAGCCAATCGTTCAAGCTCTAACGCTCTGGGCTTCCTATGCGGGGCGTATGAAGATTTGGGGGTTTCCGAAAATGGGCCGTTTTGGGGGGTCCCTTTAAGGGGGTTCTATTCTGTTGGGGGTAGAACAGGGGTCCCCCTCTTTTGGGAAATAGCCTTTTGGGGATTTAGCCTTCATAGGCCGGAGACGGATGCGACGCGGCTCATCAAGTTCGGGAATGAGTACGATTGCAAACACCCACGAAGAGGCGACCGCCAGCACGTTTTGTGGCAGCCTTAAGGCCCTGCTTCGGGGTAGCAGAATCCCTATACGAGTTTCCGAGAATAGTGGTACCCCATATTTGGGAAAAACACATAGAGAGCCCCTTCAAGGTTAGTCTTTAGTTCCCTCCTGAAACTAGGCGAGTAAGGTCTGAGAGAGCAAAGCCAGTAGGCTTGAGTGATCATCTGCAGCATAGCCGGGAACCGGACCAACCTCGGTGAAGTTGTGTAAACCTTAGTCTCGAGGAAAAATGGGCGACGTGAGCTCCTGAATCTATCAGGAGATTTGGGTGGGCGGGGTGTGGGGCGGGGCGGCGGGGGTGGGGGGGGGGGGGGGGGGGGGGGGGGGGTCGCCATTCCTGAATTTCCTGTGAGGTGGCGATGGAGGCGCTGTATGGCGCGGTGTTTCGGAGAGCTGCGCGGATCTGGATCGATCGTGATCTCCGTGAGCGCATATGTGACGATGTGGAGTGTGGCGGTGGTGTTTGATACGGGTGTCTGTTGGCTGGTGGTGGTGGCGGTGGTGCTGGTGGTACTGGTGGTACTGGTGGCGCTGGCGCTGGCGCTGGCGCTGGTGCTGGTGCTTTGGTGGATGCGCAGTCGTTGCATGGAGATCGCGGTCTGTAAGTGAGCGTGCGTTCTCTGAAGCACGTGTTCCGTAGAGCTCCGTGCGCGCATGTGTGGCTGCGTTGTGTGGTGGACTGTGGTGGGTGGTGGCGGTGGTGGTGGTGGCAGTGGTGTCTGGTGTGCCTAGAAACCCATTTTGGCGTCAGTCCAGGCTAGCTTTCGTTGTCCTCGGCTTTGCCTCTCAAGTACGGAGTAGAGTCATACAGGTGAAATGACCCAATCTTAGGGTTTCATATAGTTTCAAGAGAGACACAGAAGCTTCGAACTCCGATTCACACCTTTGCGCCAGCTGGCGATGTTTTTCCGCGGTGTTTGGTCAGGTCGCACGGTCTGGCTCGTCTCCGATCCTTTCCAGGGCCGGACCTCTAGCGATGCCCTGCTGCAGAACATGAATTGGGTATTTCCCACAATAGGGGTACCCCTCTCAGGCTTCAAATAGAAGAGAATTCCCTTTAAAAGGACCCCCAGAAAGGGTACCCCTATTTGCGGAAACCCCCAAAATTGAGGCTGTGTGTTGAGGATCATCCGAAACCCCAGAAACTTCTGTGGGATCTGCCACGGAAAGTTTATCTAGGACCCGGAGTAGGCCCTTATTTTTATTTTTTAGGGTTGGGGAAAGTCCCCTTAAAACCAAGAAGGGCACCGGTTATGCCGAAGGAGAAATGGGTGAAGCGGAGATTCATCGAACGGCAGCAATGCGTTGCAATGAAGCGTCGGCAGAGATGGAAGGACGATCACCTGGGCAAGTTCGGCGGTGCGCCCTGGGTCCAAGGTCACGGGTTCAGGTTCTGACCTCTGATTTTATTTTGGACCTTAGGGTTTTAGGGTGTGCGCAAGTTCGTGAAAATTTTGCCGAGCTCGAATTGGATTGCTTAGTGTTTAGAGGGCTGCTCTGCAGCATAACTGCTGCCTGGAGCGACGACGACTGTACAGTGCTGGTGCTACATCAGAAAAAATGCTTTAGGGTTAAGGGTTCCCAAGCGGATTCTTGCTGTTTTTTTCTGCGGAGTTTGTCTTCGTGCTCCCAGACTGCAACCTTCCGAGGAACAATTCGGATGCGGAGCCAGACGGTCAAACAGATCGTAAAGTGCTCACGCAGGGGGTGGGGAGGTTAGTCCTTTCTCACGTCTCCTTGGCTCCTCCACATGTTGGATTTCTTTGCTGCAGACTCCTCTTCATCTGTTTCAGTCCATGTCGTACCCTAAACCCTACGTTCCAGGGTTTAGGGTTTAGGGTTTAGGGTTTAGGGTTTAGGGTTTAGGGTTTAGGGTTTAGGGTTTAGGGTTTAGGGAACAGCTTCAGGTACGTTCGGCCACTGTGGCCGTGGGGCACCTTTTCACTGTCAACGACTCCTCCATCGGAACCGTGGTGAGGAGGCTGGGAGTCGGCTCCGCGAGCACATGAGGGCTTATGACGAGAGAGAGAGAGAGAAGGAAAGAAGGATAGAAGGAAAGAGGGCAAGAAGGAAAGAAGGAAAGAAGGAAGGAAGAAAAGAAGGAAAGAAGGAAAGAGGGAAAGAGGGAAAGAAGGAAAGAGGGAAAGAGGGAAAGAAGGAAAGAAAGAGAAGGAGCAGACGGGGGGGAGTGGGGAGAACAGTCTTGGCAAGCAGCTGCTAGCACTAGCAGCCTGGCACCAGGGTTGCGCTGGCATCTTGTGATCTCTGCGAGGTACTTTTCCCAACTCTTCGGGACCTTCCTACTACGCATTGGGACGTCAACAGAAGGCCTGAGCGCAAGAGCCCGAGTTCGGCGTGATGTCGCTCTACTGGTGTTTTGCATCCCTTAAACCCTAAGCCCTAAACCCTAAACCCTAAACCTTGCCAGGCCTGTGTATCCTACATGGCGGGTCCGTAGCTTCGGGTTCTTTTTGTGAGGTGCAGTACAGAGCCTCAGGTACCACGACAATACGATCTCGAGGTTCAACTTCGAAATTTGATAGACCCTAAACCCTAAAGCCTCAAGCTCAAGCCTCGACCCTAAACCCCAAACCCTAAACCTTGAAACTTAAGCCCTAAACCCTAAACCCTAAACCCTGCGCTAGAGTGAAGGGTGCCCCCCGCATCATGGCTGTTCTTGGTGCACCCCCATGGGTTCTGCAGTGAGCAGGTGGGTCTTTGCGTGGTGCTGTAGTTCTACAGCACAGAAGTGGTTGCCCGCTGTTTAGGGTTACTTCTTCTTGCCAGGATGTCAGGGCTTCTTGGGGTGGTTGTCTGGCTTTGGGGGGGGGGGGGGGGGGGGGGGGGGGGGGAGGTGGGATACAACTAGAAAGTTTAGGGTTTCGGGTTTAGGGTTTAGGGTATAGGGTTTAGGGTTTAGGGTTTAAGGTTTAGGGTTTAGGGTTTTGGGTCTAGGGTTTAGAGGTCCTAAGGGGAGCAATGTCTTTAAGGCAGCCCATATCTGCAAAAGACAGGCTGCGTGATGTCAATGATGTAGGATCCTCTGCCATATAATTCCAAAGTTAGGTCTAGATTTCTCCCGTGCTTACGCATGACCCAAACTCCGAAACTTTAAAGCTGAGCCCCGCATGACCCAAACCCCAAAACTTCAAATAGCCCTAAACCCTAAACCCTAAACCCTAACCCTAAACCCTAAACCCTAAACCCTAAACCCTAAACCCTAAACCCTAAACCCTAAACACCCTAAACCCTAAACACCCTAAACCCCAAAACTTCAAATCTTCGCCTCGTCGGCGCCCAAGGCACAGCAGGCCGCGGCAACGTTCATGAACTTTCTGCACGCCTCCTCGAACGACTCCATGGCCATGGTGCTGGTCTCAGGGAGTTTTTCTGGTTTGGGGTTTATAGGGTTTGTTTGGGGTTCATAGGTTTTTTTTAGGGTTCATAAGGTTCTTTAAGGGTTTATAGGGTTTTTTAGGGTTTTTAGGGTTTATGGGGTTTTTAGGGTTTTTAAGGTTTTTAGGGTTTATAGGGATTTTAGGGATTTTAGGGATTTTAGGGTTTAGGGCCTAGGATCGGGCACTTGGGTTTCTTGGCTTGTCGGACTTGGGGGGTTTGGAGCACCGGGTTGCAACGCAAGCCCTAAATGGGGGTTTCCGAAATTAGGGGTACCTTATTGGGGTCCGTATTACAAGGACAACCTACTATTTGTGGGTCTATATTCGGGGCCCCTCATTTTCGTAAAGCCCCAAATGCTTTGCCATCTTTTTGTTTTTAGCATTGCGCTTGGGCATCACGCTTGGGGGGTGAGACAAACATGCTGCCAAGTCCCAGACCGCAGCTCTCATCGGGGCTTGGGGGCCGTAGTCTGTAAGGATTCTTCGGGGGGGGCCCGAAATGCCCAGTAGTATCCTTGTGCCCGTTTGCCTAAGGCTTTAGGGTGTAGGGTCTAGGGGTTTCGGGGTTTAGGGGCTTAGAGGTTTAGGAGTGTAGGGTTAGTGGTTTAGGGTTTAGGGCTTAGGGTCCCCCAAGCCACAGACCCAAAAAGGGTACACGCCCCTCCATACCCGACCCGCAGCCCTGGTTGCACCCTTGATGGTAGGGTCCCTTTTTGATAAGGATTTACTTTTTAAGGGACTCACGGTCCCCATTTGGGCCTTGTTTTGGGTGGAGTGGGGCCAGTGCAGCTAGTATCTAGTATCCCCAAAAGGACACACAATAGAAACACACTCAGTAACATCAGGAGCCCTACATGCACCCCCCAACAGAGTAAAACCTGCTTCAGATGACCTCACAGAGTGCCCCGGGGGGCTTGTCTCGCGCGGTCGCAGAGGGGCTTGGGGCTTTTGGAGGTTTAGGGTTTAGGGTTTAGGGTTTAGGGTTTAGGGTTCAGGGTTCAGGGTTTAGGGTTTAGGCTTGGGGCTCCAGGTTTCGGATATGCACTCGAAGTCAGGCCACAACGTCAGAGGACGCAACGCGTCCTGAACAAATTCTTAGACCCTAAGTAGCTCACTAAACTCAAAGCCATGAACTCTAAACCCCAGGCCCTAGACCCTAAATCGCGGATCCCGAAGCCTGAAGCTACACCAGAATCCCAAGAGCCTGCGCCCGGAGCTTTGCACCCTTAACCCCAAGTCCTAAAATCCGAAACTCGAAACCCCCACCCCCCTAAAAAACAACAAAACCTTCAATCCTGTACCCCAAGTCCTAAAGTCCGAAACTCGAAACCCCGAACCCCTAAAAAAAACCCTAAACCCTAAACCTTAAACCCTAAACCCTAAAAGGCCCAAATCTGAAGCTCCCCACATCCCTAACTCGTGAGTCCCAGGCCCTGGAGGGAAACCGCCTCGCCAAGGCAGGGCATTGGGTTTATAGGGTTTATGGGGTTTATAGGGTTTATGGGGTTTATGGGGTTTATGGGGTTTATGGGGTTTATGGGGTTTATAGGGTTTATAGGGTTTATAGGGTTTATAGGGTTCAGGGTGTTAGGGTGTAGGGTGTAATGTTGAACCCTCTTTAGTGTGGCCCCCCCTTGAACCCCCCCCCCCCCGGAGCAGTCGAGGCTGGATTTGTCCCTGTTTAGACGCTCCCAGGGGTTTAGATGATTTTAATAGGGAGGAGTTTAGATAAGTTTAAAAGGCGCAGCGATGTTCGGCAATCTTTTTTAAAGGTGCGCCACGTGAAATTTTCGTACAGCGCCCGGACGATTTGCCTTTAAAGAGGGACTCCCAAACAGTCAGGGTGTCCTGAATAACACAGCCAGATTGACTTTATAGAGGAGGCTCCTACTAAACCAGGTCCAACATTAGGGTGTGGATGCCAGATATCAAGGAATGAAGACTCGTACCCCTAAGGTTGTATCCCTAAAGGTTCCCCTAAATATGCTCCTAGTATGGCCCTTATATTCCCTTAGGGATCCTAAACCCAAGGGTACGGTCCAAGGTAGAACCGCTAGACCAGAGGTCACCAAGGAGTTCTACGATGAGGTCGTTTGTGAGCTGGCGTCGCTCTACTGCCGGCACCAGCCAAGGCCCAAACCGTCGTGGTGGTGGTGGCTACAGGGGCTGAAGGGTTTGGATTCAGACTGACCCCCAAAGTATGCAAACAAAAATAGCCCAAAATCTGTAATTAATTAATACGAACGGCCATGTTTTTTTGCACAGTTGGGGTGGGGGGGGGGGGGGGGGGGGGGTTAGGTAAGGAATCTTACAGGTCTTTGCTTGTTCATGACATGGGCATTTCGCCTGGAGGCGAAGAGAGACTCTCCTGCAGTTCATGCAGCCCTTCCAGGTCCAGATGCTGCCGTGCCTTTTGTTGGGAGATGTAGGGTACTCTCTGGATTGCTAGTATTGCTTAAGAACCTCCCCATTAAACAAAAATGATATTCTTCCTTATAAGAACAATATAGGGATTAATATGTGTCATGTTCGTGGGGGGTAGGGAGGGGGTGTGTTACGGTGTGTGCTTCAGCAAATGGTAGAGTACGGTCCTCTTGGCGGGTCTTTTAAAGATCTTGCTCCATAGTGTCGTAGGAACCGCCAAAGGACCGATTTTTCAGAAACCCCCACATGCAGGGTTGCTTTCCCTGGCTTTGTGTCGCTGCGAGGCAAGCAAGCAGAGCGGCCACCGGGTTGTTGCGACGACAACCATGCCTTCAGCTTACACAGTGCGCGCGCGCGCGCGCGCGCGCGCGCGCGCAAGAGCACACGTAAGTTGCCAGAGGGTTGCACTTTCGCAGCCGGAGGTCGCAAATGATGATCAGCAGCATGGATGCTGCGATGAGCACGGAGGCCTCCAGCACAATTCTTCAAGGCCCGTGGTCTAGCATCATGGCGTTACCAGGTTACCCGGCTTCTGCCTTCTCCAAGTAGCCCTGAAACAGGCATCATGGAAGCTG